ATGTGATGGTGTGTTTTATTTTGTGAAGTTCATACATGTATTTAACATATCTTAATTTCAATCCCATTTCATATTCTGTTACTTTGTACCAGAAACATCCTAACTGATAAACCTGGCTAGATGCTGCAGCTTCAAAACCTGGGACATTATGTTCTGCGTGTTCAGAACTCTGAGTTGATCTGCTTTGCCCCCAGGTACCCTAGTGTGTATTAGAAAGAATCCAAGTCACGCTGCAAAGTAGCCATGAGCCATCCACCTGTCCCCAACACAGCAGCAGGGATGGAAGCCCAACACTGAGACGCGATCTCAGGCCAACTTCCTTTTCGAAACTTTTATTTTTCTTAGTACATGTTTGCAGAATGTAATGATGCCATTCACCATGGGGACCGACTCCCTATTTGACACCCTTTGACCCCTGTCTTTCATAATCAGCAGGTGAAGTTTGTTTTCTTTCTTTACCTGGGTTTGGTGATCAGCAGGAGGGCCTCAGGACAGCCACTCCTGTCTTGCCTTGGCTTTAGTAATATGTCAGGAACTACAAGTGGGCAAACTAATCGATGATAAGAATAGCACAAGGCAACAATGGCCTTTGTTCTTGAGATCTGAAGAACTGAGAAATACCTTGTGACTAGGATCCGATATGTGTAACTTCACCTGTGGAAAGGCACCCACCTATCTATGATCCATAAAAATTGTCTTTAAATCAGCCTCCTGGACAAGATGGCCCTCTGGGGATGAGAATCTCTGCTATCTTCTGATCAGCTAGTTCAAAGTAATAAAATTCCTTCTCTACCACCGCCTTCCCTCTCCACTAATTGGCATCTGTGTGTGGCAAGCAGGCCAAGTCTGTGGGTGGGAACAGGATATCCTGTGAGACACGCTGCCTTGGCACTGAGGGCTGGGAAAGGAGAAATAAAAGGCTGTTTCTCCCTTCTCCCTGTAGAAGGGCTCAGTTTGGGTTACCTGGCGTGAATATGTTAGAGACTATTGTCTCCCATGAGCCCAATAGCAGGGGTAAGACCAGTGTGTGCTGAACAACTGCAAAGGCACCAGATATTACCATCTTGAACTTAAATGTCAGCAAGAAACCTCAGAGGGGCCCAGGGACACTCAGATCACAAGGACTGGGAGGCGAGAGTCCTCATCCAAACTGTGCCTGGATCTTAGAAACTGTGCCCACCAGAGGCTCTCTCCAAGTGGAAGACACATCGTGTTGGGAGGAAGAAGTTTGCCCTCCTGACCTGGGTTGAACTTAAAGTCTTCCAAGTCAGGAACCATTTCCTTATTCCTCTAGCCAGTCTGCAATCCAAAATACCTGCCTTTCAAACTTGCTGCGGGGGTCAGGGATGCTGTACATAAAGCTCTCAGCCTTTTTCCTTGAATCACTGTGTCCCCCACTATACTATAAATCCCTAAGGCCTGGAGCTGCATATGGGGGATCCTGGTGTCTGGCCCCGAGCAGGTGATTAATATACCTTGGCTAGACATATGGGTGGCTGGATAAAGAGCAGTGTATAGCTGCTTGTCTGAGCTCTGATTATTCGGGTATGAAAGCTTTATTTCTGTCCTCAAGGAACTCATTTTAGAAAACAAAATCTTAATGAAAAAGAACAAGGACATGTGATGGGCCAGGGCCCAGCTTATCACGGGGGCTCAGCTGGAGAGAGAGGGCTGACGCTCGCAGGTCCTTCTAGCTAACCACAGTCTGGACTGGGTCTGCTGCACCAGCAGGCCTCAGCCACACAGAAGGGTGGGAGAGCACTCTGGGCACAAGTGCCAGCAAGTCCTTTGGAGTAGAGATGTGAGTGGCCGAAGGACAGCGGTGGCTCAGAGTCTGTGTAGCTGGGGCAAATGAAGATATGGGGAAGGGGGAGGGGAGGGCAGAGGACTCAGGGAGAACAGGTCAGTCCAGGCCACCTCCTCGCCTGGATGCTGAGATCTGCCCAGGAGAAACTTAGAAGGCTTGTAGGGATGAGAGCATTTGCACTTCTACAGCAGCAGTGTGGAGCGGCTACAGGGCCTGGAGGAGGTGCTGAGGAGAAGGAAGCAGTGAGAGGCAGGAGGCTGGGCCCACAGGGGCTGTGGGGCTTTCAGACTTCGAGGGACTTGAGAGGACAACTCTGAGCACCTGGCCAGTGTGCGTAAGGAAAAGCAGGGCCATAAAGATGCCCTGGCCAAGTGGGTGGATGACCCTCTGTGCAGGGGGACAGGCGGGGGTGTGGAAGGAACAGGCTTCTCTTTGGTCCTGGGGATGCTGAGAGGCCAAGGACCTGCAGATGTGGTTTCTCAGGAGGCAAAGCATTCCTGGCCTTAGGAGAGAGGGTTCAGACAAGAAAAGTAAATGTCATACTCAGCAGAAAAGTGCTATTGGGAACCACATGTGGAGATACGATCTCACCAGGAGGGCTTGCAAAAAAGCTGAGCCCCAGAATATACCATGTATGGGCAAAATTTCTGAGAAAGAGGCAGAGCCAGGATCTCCAGGCAGGATGAAAAGCTCATGCTGCCATTGGCACTGGGAAGAGAGGGCTTCTGCAGGGCGCAGTGATCTTCAGTCAAATCCTGCAAAGTGAGCAAATGAGGAAAAAACCTGGAAAATACTTGTTTGTAGCCAGACTTATGCACCCCTGTCAGCCTATAGGTACAAGTGAGATCAAATGAATAATAATTCCAGAGATTTCCCATAGAGCACTAGCTTGCTGCCAACCATCTGCACAACAAAAACACATCTCCAAAAGTTTCCTCCATTCCTCTAAGCATTTCTGGAAGGACCTGGGGATTCTCACGCCGGCTCCTCCACAAACACACACACTCACCTGGCCCACAAGCCAATGTGGCAGAGGACTCTGCTCAAAGTTTCGATGAGCTGAAGCTACAGTGTTTTCTGAGAAATGAAGGGGCCACCCCCTCCGTTTGCCATCTCATCTGTTTGTCTCCCCTGTCTCACAAAAACACCTTCAGCTGTGTCTCATGTCCATCTGCCCTATGGCTTCAGACATCAGTCCTGGGGCAAGCGGTGGAGCAGATGTAGACCCTCTGTATCCTCTGCCCAAGGTGCCCCAGTTCCCTGATGACACTCTGCTGAATGGTCCGGGGGTTGATTCACTCCACCTAACTTCTGGGTTAGATTCAACCAAGGTACCTAGCTGCAAGGTGATTTACCAACACAGAGGGGTTTCAACAGCATGGTCAGACTGCAAGGCCAGACTGCAATGAGATGAGGAAAGAGGAAGTGGCAAAAGAAAAAAAAGTACCCATGACAAGCAGGATACCAAGGTACATGAGAGGGCAGAGGCCGGAAAGCAAGACACAGGAAGTGGTGCTCGTGGTTTTTAACACGGGAGAGAGTTAAACATGGTCACATTCTGAGGAAAACGGAAGGTGGCAGGGAGAGACCACAGCAGACACTGAGGAAAGAAAGATTTTGAGGGAAAAGCCAGGTACAGTCCTGCCACGGACCGAGGGCCCTGGCCACAGGCTGGGGGCTGGCCTGGCAGCCTGAGTCTGAGACAGAAAGAGAACAGGGGAGAGTCTCACCTTGAGCTTTTTCTGTGGGAGGTAAGGCTTTGGGTCTGAAGTCTCAAGGCCTGAGGCAGCCATGTTGCCTGTAGCCTCACATCCCTACCACAGTGCTGTGCTTGGAGCTCTCACAACCCAGAATCTGAGCTTCTCATTTTGCCAATTTTATTTACATAACAATTAAGAGCCACAAAGCTGCCCCTCCAAAAAAGCTGCTTCTGGGAGTCTATTTTCTTCCCTGCTTGGAAATCCACCAACATGACAGTGGTGGCATCCAGCCCTGGCTCTGGCCCCACCTCTTTGAAGACACAGTACAGTACAGTACAGTAAGTCCCCGACTTAACGAACAATTTCCGTTCCAGGAGAATTGTTCATAAGTTGGATTCATTTGTAAGCTGACAAAGTGAGTCTTATACAGTACACCTATGAAAGTTCCCAAATGGAATGTTAGTAGTCAGGGACTTACTGTACTCTGGTTTCAATGTAACATTTCCTGGGAAAAAGGATAATTGAATTTTCTTTGATTTGTTTAATCTAACTTGGCACACACTGGAGGAGTCTGAAGGAAACCCAGGAGTAGAAGGATTTTGCTCTGCCTGGTGGAGAGGACAGGCACCCTGGAGAAGAGCAAAAGATTTTCGAGTGTTCAGCCCCCGCTGCTGCCTTCTAACACGGTGAATACGGTGGCTAAGTTATTGCCCTTCTCCACTCCAAAACAATGAAAACGCAAGGCTGCAGTCAGAAGAAAATCCTCACTCGATTTGTTGGAAGCCCCGGGGGTGTCAGAATTTGCTTGCAGAATGGACTGCTATTGAAGATGCTCATGGGCCGAGGCAGGTGTCTCCAAAGGCAGATCCTATCCGTGTCTAGGGCCCACTGTATGCCTTTTCCAAAGCAGGACCACAGCCACATGGCCACGGCAGCTGCCGTAAGGGATGCTGAGCTCAGTATTGCTGGGCCTGACTTTTCTAAGAGAAGTTACAAGTCTAGATGCTTGTGTGCACTCTTCAGAGTTTGTCGATGCTGAGTGCCGATTCCACGACGCTCACCCCAACACTGAGCACCCCAGCTGGCAAGTCACCATTTCAATCCCTTTCTCTACAGAAGTGCCAAAGCTTCTGCTTCCTCGAATAATTGTGTTTATATTTTAAAAACCAACCGTGTCTCCAAGAGGGAGGAAACAAAGAACTGGCTCTGGGAGGTCACTGTCTCCACGGGCCTCCGAAGCTGGTCTGTGCTTCCTGGGAGGGTGGCTTAACTCTGATCTCTGCCAAAATCAGGCACTCCCGATGCTCTGAGGACAACAGAATCATCCAACCCATAGCTACCAAGGACTAAAAGCAGGTTGTGCTTTTACAGCGCAAACTTAAGCAGTGAGCCCTCCAGACGCGCAGTGACTTACCGGCTGTCCCTTTAAAACTCGCACACTACCAGGCAGACTCCTCCTCCTGGGAGGTTCCTTAGCAGATAAGAGCCAGCTGGCCCTGCTCAGCGCTGTACCTGCAATTAGAGGTTCCTGGAGAGACGGCAGCCCTCAGCATGGCTGAAGCGTTTGTGAAGGGCAAAATCCACCCCAAGAGGGTGGTTGTGTTCATCAAGCCCACCTGCCCCTTCTGCAGAAAGACCCAAGAGATCCTCAGTCAGCTGCCCTTCAAAGAAGGGGTTCTGGAATTTGTGGATATCACAGCCATCAGCAACACAAACAAGGTTCAAGACTATTTGGAAGAGCTGACAGGCGCCAGGACGGTGAGTGTGGGGTGTGTTCGAAAGGATCCTGGCTGGTTTTTCTTCCCAGGGCTGCGAATGAATAAGTGTGTGTGCCTTTTCTAGGACACTGCCAGCGCTCTGTCCTTCAGGGTGTGGAGTGTGGGCTGCCGGGGAGGGAGCCCACGAGAAGACTCGGGCCCTTGAATGGGCAGCTGAACAGCCAGAGGGTCCTCTCCGAGCCGAGGAGGGAGCCCAGCTGACCCACAGCGCCCCAGCAGGCCCTGAGTCTCAGTCTCAGTCTCAGTCTAGAGGCTATGTCCGGAGGCTTTGTTTCAAGCCCTGCCGGGAACTGACAGTTCTCAGCGTGCGGGGCTGGCAGCAGGACGGGGCTGGCGGGCCAGTTTGATCTGCACATTTCTGCTATGCAACGTGGAACCCTGAGCTCACTTCCTTCTGCTTTCACATGGCCACATGGGACCTGCCGCCCCTCAGTCCTTTCTCTAGGCTTTCTTTAACCCTAACCCTATTTGCTCATTCTTTTCTTATCTACTCCTCCCAGTGGAACAGTTCTCCAGTTTCTCTGTTTGCCCCATGTTCTAAGTTAATGGCGGGACTTTTCAAATGGGTCAGATTTCCTCTGGACTCTCACAATGGCTTGCTCTGTGATCCCTACCAAGTCATAGCCTCGGGTCCAAGGATCCAGCTACAAGGCCACAGCGGGTAACTGGAGGTCTCCCTTGTGACAAGCACACTGTGGGACTCTGAGTGCCCAGGGCTTACGATGGGATGGTCAGCCAACCAGATCCTGGTGCTTGAGCCGGAGTCACCCTTCCTGAGATGTATTCAAGGACTCCGAGTCAGTAGAAGCAAGTGTCCCGTTTCAGCGTGGGTTTGACTTACCAGGTTTTCTTGGGTTCTGGGTGTACAGCACTAGAGATCTCTCCCCTTCTTTCCAACCAGAAATCAGCACTGCGATGCAGGAAAAGGTGAAATATGCTGCCCTGCTGCTGTGAGCGGAGGTCCTGAAGCAGAGACGCAGTGCCGGTCCCTGTGGCCTTGCCCCTGCCCCTACTCCTTAGCCAGTGTTTCCCAAATTTTTAGAGTCACCAGGGGGGATTCTTTTTCTAAACCCTATGCCCAAGTCATACCCCAGACCAATTACACCACAAAGTCAGAGTTGGTCCAGGCCAGGCACCAGCGGTTTGAAAGACCCTTACATGATTTCAATTTACATCAGTTTGGGAATGACTGTTCCTAGCCCAGAAGCTTCTGTTCTCTAGCAAAGTACCTCATTACCGACTTTTTTGCTTTCTTTTCTTTTTAAAGAAACGCTGTATCTGTAGCAGTATGTTAAGAGTATTTTAACATGTTAAGGAATATATTCACAGTTGGAGTCCAGAATGCATTCCCCAGGGCAGGGATTTAGCTCAGTGGTGCTGCTGCCTGCCTCACAAGTACAAGGTCCTGAGTTCAATTCCCAGGACCAAAAAAATAAAAAAAAACATGTCTTTAGCCGGGGATTTAGCTCAGTGGTTTCGATGCCTGCTGCGCGAGCTCAAGGACCCGAGTTTGATCCCTGATACCAAAAAACCCCCCAAAAAACAATGCATTCCCCTAAGGAGAAGGACAAGTCCTTCCAAATTGTTTGCCTCCTGATCTCTGTTTCTATCAAGGAGACTGAAAACGTGAGAGTAGTTACCATCCTAATTACCCTACAGTGAGTTGTGCTGCTGGTACAGGAAGAGCTCAGCAGGACTTGATTGATTGCAGAAGCTCATGCTTCAGTCAGATGAGCTTGTTGGGATAGGGTTAGGGTTAGGGTTTAGCGTTACATTAGGTTTAGGGCCAGGGCCCTAGATCAATGCCCGTGTTTATTCCTCCTCTAACCTCTTCCAAGAGTAGAGTTTAATCCACCACAGCATCTTCATTCTCCCTGAAGAACATCTTTGAATACTTTTTGCAAGGCAGGTCTGTTTTGCAACACATTCTCTCAATTTTTGTTTGTGTGAGGAAGCTTAGTTTTTCTTCACATACAGGTTGGTTTTGGTGGGTTGCAAAAAAAAGTTTTTAAACATCTGTGTACCAGGCACTTTTCTGGACATTGTTAAAATAGCAGTGGATGGGGTAGGGTGGGGTGGGGTGGGGTGGATGAAGCTTCTCCTCCCTTTTAAAACTTGCATCCTAGTGGTAAAGGTAATAAATATAATGAAATGGTATTTAGGGAGGTAAGTGAAAACAAATTTAGAAGGAGGGGAGCGGACAGGAGGGTATTTTTAAATGGAACCATCGGGTTCCGGCGCCTGCCTCGCAAGCACAAGGTCCCAAGTTCCATCCCTGGAAAAAAAAAAAAAAAAAAAAAGCAAGGAAGTAAATGGAACCGTCAGGGCCTAAGAGGGGAATATGTGAGTAGGTTTCTATATGAGGTGATGGAGAAGGCATATAGGAATTTAGGGGTGCAGGCCAGGCAGGGAGAGCAGCAAGTGCAAAGGTCTTGTGGTAGAAATGTGCCTGGCGAGCTCATGGAATGGCAAAGAGGCCAGTATGGCTGTAGCATTGTGAGTGAGGAGAGGCAAAGGAGGAGATCTGAGACAGAATGGGAGATGGTGAGGAAGGCTTCCTGATTATATTACAGTGGACCTTTGACTTACAAACTCAGTCAGTTCCTGAGGGAGGGTTGGTTATAAGTCAGTACAGCTGAGATCTGGATGTTTACCTGGGTACGTGCTATAGATAACAAGAGGCAGATGAATCTTCCATTAACCTAATTAACCCAGGTTGTTTGTATGTCAGGCTGGTCGTACTGGCAACTTGAGTGTCCACTGTGCATGGACTGTGGCTGGTACTGGAGCGAGGTGCCACCCCGTGAGGGGTTTTCAAGCAGAGGGGCGACTCCATTTGACTCAGTTTGGCAGGGGTCGTTCTGGGAGCTGGGAGGAAGAGATGGTGCAAAGACCAGGGTGTGGCTTGGGAGTAGAAGCAGTGGCTCGGGCGAGAAATGACTAGGGCTTGGGCGGGCTGGAGCGTGCGGGAAGCAGGTTTAAATAGGCGCGTGCGAGGTGGGAAAACCTGCTCCAGGAGAGGAAGGGCCCGTGCGAGCCTGTTCTTTAATGATCGTTCTCTTCCCTCTCTGGACAGCGGGGGAGGGTGGACAGGGTCACCAGCTCCTCTGTGTCCTGCATCCTTCCCTGGGGCCCCACGCTGTCCTGTGCATCCCAGAGAATGCTGTGCCCCGTGTGTGATTTAAGGCGGGTTTGCCGCCGTCCAGGCCGCCGGGTGAGGGGGATGGGAGAGCGGCCTTTCCACTCTCAGCCCAGCCAGATTCTCTGCCAGATGGGGTGTGAGCACAGACTCCGCCCGGGGACACCCTGGTCACTGTCTTGGGGTCGGGGACAGTCCTGGGGCTGTAGTTTTCAAAGCCTCAGTTACCCTGGAGGAATAAACGGCCCCTCAGGGTAGACCGGTGTTAAAAATGTGATCCTGGGGTGGCAGCAGCACCTGGGAATTTGTTAGAAATGTAAATTCTTTCAGCCCCTACACAGACCTCCCGAATTGGAAATCAGAGAGGGGTAGGAGAATAGAAATCTGGGTTTGAACCAGTCCTTCCAGGATGCTGTCAGAACTAACTCCAAGGAGAGAAGGCCTCACTCCCAGACGTTCTCGTCAACACACTGGTCAGTTGAAGGCGGAAATGTGGTGTGGAGCCCTGGCAGGCTGCGGAGTCATGAGGATTGCCCCATTGTCCTTGAAAATACAGAAGTTCAAGGATGAATGTGTGGCTTCCTCGTTTAAAGCTCAGACGGTTTTTATTTAATCAGGCCACACCTTTAGCAGAAGGACTTCTGCAGTGGAATTACATTAGAATCCTGTCAACTGTTCCAGCCAAAGCCAAGTGTTTCTGGGGAGAAAGAAGATAGAAGGCCCCCAAAATGGGGCAGAGGGAACCGTATTTTCTCTGAAGCAATGGCCAGGACTTGGGGAAATTTTAGGTTTCTCACCATCCTCTTCTACAGCTTTTCTCTTCTCCGCTGATGAAAATGATTTCTCAGGCCCAGTGGAATGCAACCAGGCACTCGCCAGAAAGCAGTCCAGTGGGTCCTTTCCCCTTCTCGGGGCACAGGAAATAGATGTGGATTGTGACACGGGATTTATTTTTAGTGTTAGCTTTTATTTTTAAAGTCGGCTGGCATTGGACCCCTTTCTTAATAAAAATACTATAAGAATTTATAGTAATTCAGCCCTTTTCCTCTTCTTTCTTGCTTTTGAAGCAATTCACTTGAATTACAGTATTATGTTTTCTGAGGAAAATCAAATGCTTTGAAAAATATTCTCACTGTGTTCTGCCCTCCTGTCCCATCCCTGGGGTACTGTATGTTCCTTGTGGTCCAGGAGAGGAGGGACCTTCCTCATAACCCATAAGCCTCTGGGACACTGTTGGCCTGGAAGCTGCCTGAGTGTGCAGGGAAGAAACTTTCTCCTCCCCCAGAATTCTAAAACCCACTGGACTCCAGAATGTGTGGGTACTCTTAGCAACAGCAGGAATGTGACTGGACAGGAAGCCATTATTCAGCAAGTACAATGACCTTGTCAGTATGGCCTTGGGTCACCCGCCCAGGCCATGTATGAACCAAACCAGGTGAATGTCCTTGGTCCCGGGGTGGCAGCATTTAAACATCATACAGTGGACCAAGGATTAAAGGAGACCCAGATACCACTCCACTCTCCCCTAGTTGAGCACACAGCTCACCTACGTTTTAACAACAGAGAGAGAAAACTATATTTAGTAAATGATAGATCTACAAATCAGACACAGAGACCAGAGGCAAATACTTTTCAAGCTGTACTTAGAAATAAATGCCCTCCTGGTCAGTGGCCCAGCTTAAGGTATCAGGTGTGGTCCCAGCTGCAGAGAACCAGGATGAGTCAGGGTGTTCTGGCTATAGCCAAAAAATGTTCTCTCCCTGAAACACACTGCCATAGAGTGAAATTCTGAAACCCCTTTGACAAGTTGGACAATCAAATGCACAGCCTACACAATTTGAAAAATATTCTGGCTTAAAAGCCTTCTTGAATGTATAATTTTACTCTTAACACAAGGATGTGTGTCCCAAGAGAATGTGCAGGGAGCGCTGGAAAGTGACAGGGAAAGCTTTGGATCACGGAACATATTTAGAAGGATAAATTATCACTCATTCTAATTGCCTCATAATTAAATTGCTGGGTTGTTTGTTTTTGTAGGTGCCCCGGGTATTTATCGGTGAAGACTGCATAGGTGGGTGCAGTGATTTGGTAGAGTTGCAGCAAAATGGGGAGCTGAAGACCCGGCTGCAGCAGATGGGTGCTCTAAAGTGACTCCAGGTGGGTAGCAGGGAAGACTGGAACCCATTGCCAGCACTTAATTATACTGTAGGAGGAAAAGAATGATTTGGGAGCAATCTGAGGAACTGTCACATCAATAATTTATGAGTTTCACATTTCACAAAAAGATGGATTGTGCTGATGGGAGGAACCATTACTCAGCCTTCATTAGCCAATATTTATTGAGCACTTTCATGCGCACTGAGCTAAATACAGAGATACACCGAAAGGGAACCTGGAACTTACACTCTGGGTGGTAGGCAGGTCACACGTGGGTCAGTAATTCCTGGAACATATGGGACAATGTGACAGCAGGCCAGGAAGCTGGCGGCGAGTGGGCCCCTCCTCAGGAGAGCTTGGCTCACAAGGAGACGGCCAAGCAGAGGTGAAGCTAGAGTTTCTCAGGCCAGGGCCGTGTGTAATGACAAGTAAGGAATGTCCTGGGAGCAGGAGGAAAGCCAGAGCAGGCTGAGGAAAGAAGAGCCAGAAGACAGCTGGGCAGGGCCAGAGCGCACAGAAGCAGCCTGCATCTCTTCTCTGTACATGTAAAATCCAGGTCATTTTTGCTTCATTGCAAAGCTGCCCTGTCTAAAGGGCTTCTCAAAGGCCACTAATAAAGTCACTAGCCTAAAGGAGATCTTTGGCTCAGTGGGAAACATGGGGGTGATGGGCTACTTAGAAAGGACCTGGGCTGCTGGTGGGTCGGATGAGTAACCCCCACCAGTTCTCCAGCCGTCTGCCTGGCAGGCGTCCACAGGGGGCCAATCTGCTGCCCCGACTCAGAAAGACTTGAGAGTTTCTTCAGTCAAAGGAGAAGCGAGTGGCTCTTTCACCAAAATATTCTTTGAGGGGATCTATTGCCCAAGAATTAGTAGTTTATCCCCGGGGCATGCATAATTTGTGGCGATTACTCAGAACAGCAATAGAAGGAAAATAATGTTTGAAAAAATACAACTGAGTCCTCTGACGTAAAATAGCCAATAGCCACTTACAGATCTTCTCACTGCAACCAGCACAGGAGAGTGCTGTCAATCTGTTTCCTTTTTGCCCTTACATGAGGCTCAAAAGCATGAAAACCCAATTAGAGCTGGGTGTGGTGGTGCACGCCTGTAATCCCAGCACTCAAGAGGCTGAGGCAGGAGAATCGAAGTAAGTTCGATGGCAGTCCGGGACACGCGGTGAGACTGTCTCAATAAACAAAAAACAAAACAACAAAAAAATATAAACAAAAAACCCCCAATCAGTGGTTCTGAATGCTGCCTGTTCTGGAGCGTGTTTAGCACTTCAGGGTTAGCTGCAGAGTGGGAGGGGAAGGTGCTTCCACCTCCCTGGCTCCCTGCAGGCTCCCTGCAGGCTCCCTGCATCTCAGTGTGGGCACTCAAGTGGGCTATTCACAAAGCCTTCACGAATCCTTTTCCTTCACCATTCTGTGGTGTCCTTACTTGGCTGGTGACTCCACCCAAGGCCATCTGTGGCGCAGTGTGTTTATACAGCCAAAGTGAGCGCTCCAGTGATGAGGGGAAGTGAAGGCACAGTCATCTACCCTGTAAGAAGATTAATCCTGTGTTTCTTTTCTGCCAAGGCGGACCACATGCTGCTGTCCCCCCTGAGAGCTGGATGACACCCAAAAGGATGATATCACTTCCTGGTAATGGGATTTTGAACAAAAGCAGCTGTTTTTCTTTTTTTGGCTCACAATTAAAAAGTAGACCAACTTGCCACTCACCATGGTGCCAAGAAGGTCGATGGACTACTGTGGGTTTCTTCTGGATCGGCCCCGTGGGTTCCAGAAGACCACGACAAGTTCCAAAAGATGTTCTCTCCAGCACGTGTTTCTAATTAACTGTTCTCTGAGGGCCAGCGCCTCTACCTCTAAGTCAGTGTTTCTCATGTTTAACCCACCCCCCGCCCCCAGGATAGTCTACCGTTGGTTTCAGCCCATCAGCTAGAATTACTCTGCTGAGCTGGCTTTATGTGATGAAACCAATGAATATGCTGAACGTATTCCTTCAAATTGTACACACTCTCCCTTCCCTACCTTGAGAATCACTGCTCATAACCTGTATTCGATGTTCTCCAACTCTATGGAGGGTGTGAGGACCCAGTGTGAGAACCTGTACACAAAAATTAAGTCCTGATCTTCACTTGGTGTTCGCTGGAGCCATGTGGGTGGAGATTTGGGGCAGATGACACAAACATGTGGCAATACTGTTAAAGCAGTGTATTAGTGATTTAAATTACTAGAAACATTAACACATGAAATGGAAAACTGCTGGGGATTTACCTCAGTGGCACTGCACCTGCCTCGAAAGCACAAGGTCCTAAGTTCAATCCCCGGTACAAAAGAAAAAAAGAGGAAACGGTATCATAGAAAACTTGTGTGCCCCCACCCCCCAGAATATATCTGAGAAAGAAGCTAAATTTGAGAAACACAATCCTAAATAATTCCTTTTATTTCCCACAATTGGAAAATATAAGAATCCCTTACCAAGAAGTTTAATTGTATGTCCTAGATTTGCATGATTAATTTCCTTCTGTGGTCTCTAGTGAGGACAGTTAATTTCTAATAAAGAAGTATCTACAGATGGCTTGTGGTTTGTATCTAGCTTTGTTCCACATTCTCAAGACTTCAAGGGATAATGGTAATGTGAAATACACTGCCTTCAAGCTTTATTTGTGTTTGTCCCCACCATTATAATTAAAGACAGGTGGTGTCATCACTGTTTAAATATAAAAGGTTGATGTAATTTTTAAATTTCCTATTGAAATGACAAACATGTTAGCACTAGGCTGCTTCATAATGTTTAGACTTTAATAATCATTTGCATTTTAGATCCCAGTTTTCCATTACCCACATGATACCTTTATGTTTCTGGGATTTCCCCCATCGGCCCTGGCCACTCCCTTGCTATGGCTGATTGCGAAGGTTCCACACTGCTCCACACTATGAATAGCCCCTGCAGGTCAGGCACAGCCCCCGGTCCTCCGGAGCCCTCACTTACATTCTCTTTCACACTTGCTTGAACATCACCCTTCCTTGCTCCTAGCATTGCTCCTCCTGCTGTCCTCCTCCCCTTTTCACATTCCTCCTCCTGATTCCAGACCTGGTTTACAGCTTCTTTCCCCCTTTATCTCCCCTCTCCTCTCCCTGCCTTCCGACCAAAAAGGCTATTGCTCCCTCTTCTGTAACCCAGAAGTACCCGGCAGTTAGGTCACAACTCTGATCCGGTTACACTGCAGTCAGTCCTCTGTATTGGTCTCTTGCCAGATTCAGGAAAACCCAAAGGCAAGAATCTCAACTTAGCCATCTTTGTAAACCCAGTGTCTAGCATAATTCCATTTTATTAAGGCAATACATTGTGTACAGTTCCAAAAACTAGTATTCAAAGCCTGCCTTTCCTGGTCCACTCCTTGTAAACCCTGTCATACACTTAACCAATTGCGTAGGTACTTATACCTATTTAAAAATATGTAAAAAAGGCTAGGTGTGGTAGTGAATGCTTGTAAACCCAGCACTTGGGAGGCAGGAGGATCACTGTGAGTTTGAGGCCAGTCTGAACTACACAGTGAGACCCTGTCTCAAACAAAAGACCCAGGGCGGGGATTTAGCTCAGTGGTTTTGCCACCTCCCTTGAAAGCACAAGGTCCTGAGTTCGATCCCCAGTACCCCCCCCAAAAGAAAACCCCAGAAGAACCAAAAAAACAAAAAATACTGTAAAATGTAGACATATAGAAGAGTGATTTTACTGTTCAGTTCTACTTATCTATGTATCTATCTGCTAGGATCAGAAATAAGACCTAAATAGTGTTTCTAAGGCTCTTGACAAAGTACCTTAGAGGCCCATGTGCCCCTCCTAGTCTCCTAACCCTCCACGCAGGTGACCAGAGTTCATTTCTGTTGTATTTATTCTAGTGCCACTCCCTATAGTTTTACTCCCTGTGATATCCCTAAGCAGTACATTTTACTTTTGAATAGCAACAGCAAATATCAACCTAGCTGTGTAAGGAAACAGCCTTATTACCACAATCGCAATAAACAATCCCATGAGAAGCTGAGGGCTGGCTCTGAGTCCTACACTGGTTCGGCTTCCCTGGGAGTTTACCAGAGTCACCTCCAAGGAAGCCAGAGAGGTCCCAAGTGAGTCTTGGAGACACAGGCCTGGGTGACCCCAGAAACACGTTCAGTGGGAATGGGCAGCTCTGCTCTTCCTGCTTCTGAGCACTGCCCACTCGAGCTTTCAGGAGCAGGTCAAAGCCCACCATTCCTCAGGTGGCCAAGCATGTGGCATGAGAACAGAAATGTCATCGGCCCAAGGCATGCTAAGGACAAACAAGAACTGGTGTCAGTTCATTGGCACCAGTGGTGTCACATTAACACAAAATGTTGGGGATTCTGTCCTCAAACTAAAAAAAAAAAAAATGCAGGGGATGTAGCTCAGTGGTAGAACACTTGCCTAGCATGCACAAGGCCCTGGGTTCCATCCCCAGCATGGTCAAATTAAAGAAAAAATTATAACAGCAGTGCCTTCCATATGGAGAATTACACAGCTCCAGTTGGACCAGCTGCTCCATGTCTCAGGCAGAGCTGTCCATCTGGGCTCCATTTCCCTTCACCACCATGCTGGGGATCCCTTTGTCTCTCTCCTCTGCTAAGTCTTCTATTTCATGTGACCCACATAGGGATACAGGTGAAGCTGCTATCACAAAGACATAAAAGCCTGATAGAAGCTTATTTCCCTCTCTCAGAACTGTCCAGAGCAGGCAGCTGGCATTTGTTACGAGATCACAATGGACTCAGGACTTATACTCATCCATTCCATTCATGCCCTGTAGTAGTAGGTATTCCTGTGACTGGGACATAATACCTAATACCACAACTTAAAGGAGGAGAGGTTTATTTTGGCCTATGGTTTTCCAAAGGTTCAGTCCATGGTTGGCTGGCTCCAAAGCAGAAGAGGCATGGTGGAAGTATATGGCGGAGGAAAGCTCAACCCATGGTGGTCAAGAAGCAAAGAGAGAAAGGAGGAGCTGGAGACAGGAATACACCCTTCCAGGTCATGAGCCCAGGGAGCCCACCACCTCTGAGTAGGCTGCACCTCCCAATAGCACATTTAGCTATGATCTCATTAAGGGGTTGGTCCACTGATGAGTATCGGACCCCCATGATCCCATCACCTTTTAAACATACGAGACTTCTGGGGAGCATTTTAGATCTAAACCATAGCATGTTCCATGGCCATAACTTGGTCTCGTGGTTGCAGTGGGCTGCAAGAGGGGCTAAGCCAAGGAGTCCCTAGCTGGAAAGCCCCTTGCCTCTGTACCAAAGTGCCTTTAGGTAGGTCTATGTCAAAAGACAGAAGGGAAGAAAGGATATGGAAAGAAAATTAGCATATTGGGTCTTTCTCTTTATCAGTCTTCTCTCTCTGGGGCCCTATTTTTCTGTTTTGCACTTGAAAAGTTTCCTCCAATATCTGGAGATCCAACTGTACATATGCAACAACAAAGCACTGGGCCCGCCAGCATGGTGGCCAGCACCTCTAATCAGAGCTCCTTGGGAAACAGAGGCAGGAGGATTTCCCAAGTGTTAGAGGTTAGCGTGGGCAAGCTAGGGAAACCTATCTAAAAAAAAGGCATGAACGAGGCACCAAAACACCTGGCTGGAAGACGTGTGTGCCTTGATTGGGCTTGTTAACAAATGGGCTCCGCCACGGTTGGAGTACCTGTTCAAATGTCACCTTCTCGGCACAGGCTCCCAGGTCCCCCGGCCTAGCATGGAACACCCTGCCCTCAGTTTCACCTGCATTCCCTGTCCATTTCCTTGCTTCATTTTCCCCTGTGACATTTATCACTCACTAAATGGTATGATTTTCTGATTTATTTACTTCCTCTTTTCACCACTATGATGGAAGCCCCTTGGGGCCAGGGATGCGTGCCTGTTTTGCTCAGTGCTCTGTTTGCAGCACTAAGAGACCCAGCAGAGTGGGCACTGGATCTGTATCTGCTGAGCGAAGGAAGAACTCAGAGAAGGAGTCCTTGATCGGGTGTGGATCTGGGAGATCCCCAGATGTTAGTTCCCGGGTGACATTTCTTTGGAGCCATTCATTTTCTGCAGTGTCGGAGCAGCGTGGCAGGGCTTCCATGCCAGGGTCCTGTCTGCCAAGCGGGCCAAAGGGACTTGGCAGCTCCCTGGCCAGGGTGCAGACTCTCAGATCACGTTCTGCTGAGTAATTCTGTGACATACACAAGGACAGAAAGGACTATGGCCCAAAGAGCAATGAAAGCTGGCACCGACTGGGGCAGGCAGAGGAAAGCAACGAGAATAACCAAGCAAACATACACAGCCACCGTTCTCTTCATTCCCATGACTTAGGAAGCCTTGGGCTCCACTCTCCTAAGAATGTCTTGTTCTAATTGCTTTATCTTTGCTGCTTCCAGCCTGGCTCCTTGCCCTGGCCTACTGACAGCCACTCCTGCCCATCCGTAGCTGTCCAAAGATGGCCCTGGAGGAGAAACAGCAGTCAACAGTGTTGAATTAGTCTGTGTGGCCCAGGCCACACTATTTAAACCCCTCGGGTGGATTATGAGACCAGTATCTTGTCATGTGGTTGTGAAAGAAAACCATGCTCCCTAATTTACTTCTCCATAATATCATTTTCCAGCCTGGGAAATATTTTCAAGAACTAGGTCCCAGAGATATTTTACCTAAAATTCATTTCTCACATCAATAGCCGTCTTTTCTTATTAAATTCACTGAATATCTCAAGGGGCCAAATTTAATTTTGCTCCTTGGTGAAAGAGAAGTCTGGCCTGGTCCTGTAAGTGCAAGTGATATTTAAATATAGGTCTGTATTTATGCACAGGTTCTGATTTCCCTGACACAGGCAACTTTTCAGGAAAGCTGTGGAGAGCTAAAGGGGGCACAGAGAAGTGGGATGAGGAAAGCCAGTGAAGGGGCAAAATGTTGTAAAGCTTGGGCCTTGGAGTTTTATCCCTAGAGACCTTCCTGCCCACTGAAATTCTGCTCTCCAGATCAGCTCTGGACACTTGCAGCTGAGCCTTCATCCTGTGAGCCTGAGAGACTTGAAATACTTTATGGGTAACATTGAAGTTGCTTACAGGATGCACTGTTTCTCACTATTATTCTTCCAAGTCAGCCTCAAACATTTGGTGTGGATGATCTTTAACACAATTTGCTGTGGGTTCTAACCAGAGGTGTCAAATGGAAACCAAAGGATCCACTGGGGATGGAGGACCAGCAACTCCTGGGAAGGCAGAAGCTAAAGGACTCAGCTGGAATCTGTGGCCACAGGGCTGCCCCCTCACACCTAGAACTGACCCCGTGTGTGGCAAGAGTGGGTGTGTAGAGCTGACTGGGTGCCCTCGTGCAGCCCCTGCATGGAAGACCCCGGCCCTTAGCCTCACAAGACAGGCATTTATGATTGGAGAGCTCCAGAGATAAGGAGGAAGAAAAGGGGGACTCAGAGGCTGACTTCAGAAAGGGAGGGGCTGGCCATCTTCAGACAGGTCAGGAAAACCCATGAGGAGTCCTGGCTCTCCTCCTCATCCAAGAAGCTCTGAGCAGGCAGC